ACGTACTCGAGAAGTCGTTAAACTCGTCATTTTTACGTGATATCGTGCGAAGTTTATTTAAGACGGATACGTATTTAAATTGTATGTTCCTCACTATTATTTACTCTGTTAAAATAAGATACGGTGATAAGAGGGACGTTAACGAGTTAGAAAGAATTAATTGCTCTCTGTTATTTATAGTGCAAGATATTCTCGAAATTCTATGTCCATTGCCTAATCACATGTTTTAAACAATTTGAAATTAATGTTTCTCAAAAGGAAAAGAGGAAGTTCAGTGGATGTATTTATATTATTCATTGGATGTATTTTGTCTTTTATAAAAATATGTGGTGAAGAATTTCTGTGTTTTTTAATATTTTTTTGTAAGTATTTTATAAACAAATGTGAACAAGAAATAGTATTGTGATTAAAATTCAACAAACGAAAATGTTATGATTAAAATATATTCAAAATTAAATGCATTGTAATATTAAAATATGCCTGCAATAGAATTTTTAATTCACTTTGATAAATTCACTTGATAAAGAGTTGTGTCTCTTTTCTACTATTGAAAATTGTATAAACGACAGTAACAAAAGAATCTCGGCAAGTGATTCAGAAACAAATTTCTATATGAAAAGTATCGCTGTAGAAACCACAGGTATTGTACGCTTTTATCCGCAATATTCGATACTGTTAAAAGCTGTCGTAATTGCCGCGATTAGATTCCACGCTGGTAACAAAGTGTCCGACAAAACGTCGGCGACATGAGCATACGGCAAATATATGTAGTCCTTTTATTTGAAACAAAATGTACGTATACTCTTTTAGCTCGACAAAAGCACCAATTTTTTTTTATTAAAATAGCAGAAATCAACAATTGCAGAAATGAAGTGAACTGTAATTATGAACTGTAATTGGGTAACGACGAAAAAATTTCTATTGCATGTAAAGAAAAGAATATCGAACGCGTACACGCACGTCGTGAATTATACGATATATGAAAAATGTACATAAAATATCCTATGACAGATAATCAGATAATAATTTAGAGTGCCGGGAGCCCGCACAGCCATTTAATCTAAAATTAAAGCAAACGGGGTTTACATTATCTCAACGAGGCGCATAAGCACGGTGTCGCAAAATACACGAACTTATTTCAACGGAAACTCGCTCGCCTCGGTCACGATTACCTCGAACGTATCCTCCGCTCTTAAAAGGTAATTATTATCACGATGTGATAAATCTTAATACAGTGCTCGAGAGAATCGCCCCTCTCGTCCTCTCTCTCTCTCTTTTTCTTTTCTCTCCTCCTCCTCTCTCTCTCTCTCTCTCTCTCTCTCTCTCTCTGTCTTTCTCTAGATTTTCTAGATCGTCTTCCGCACCCCCGATTCGACTATCTTGCTCGAAAGGGTTTAAACGCAGATGTACGAAACCGTCCAAGCAACTCGGGCGTAATCCGCGCGGATAATCAAATAGGCAAATTTCCGCCCCTTTTGCGTCGCGGCGCGGATGTAGTTCCCCGCGGCATCGCTTAGTCGGCGATCATTTATACCGAATAAATAGATTTCAGTTTGGAGTACGGAATAGTAGGAACGAACGAAATCACAACAGTGGATTTCCCATTAGAAGGAGAGAAATTCTGGGTTAACGAGTTAAGCTTTCGGGCGGATATCAAAAATAAAATTTGCAATTACAATATTTTTCATCGCGAAGGACTTCGCGAGAGATAATGAAGAGCAGAACAATACGAAGATAAATACGCCAGGGAAAACTAGAGATTTCCGCGCAACTAGACTTGGCCGGATCCTAGTCGGACACTTTTAATGAGATTAGACTGAGTTTGTCTAACATATCGCTGAGAAGAAGTACGAACAGGCGTTAATTACCCCTTAATTATCCTTATCGGAGCGATCATTATTCTCGTTGGTCGCCAAAACGCTACGGTCGCGAAAGGACCTCGTCGTCACCTTTTTCGTCACGTATAAAGAAGTCCGGTTGTTTTCGAAAAGAAATGTGAATTTGCGCATGATGAAATTTACAAATTGTCGAGCGCAGAAAAATTACACATTGTTTTTCCGTCGCACTTGGTGAATATTTTTAAATAAAACATAGCGTAAATACATAAATAAAAATCGGTCACGATTAAACGTACTTATAATTTAAATGTGAAATTTTCTCAACTAAAAAAAAAATGAAATATCTGTGATATTTGTTTGCTATATATTATTGTCTACACTCAGTGTGGTCGCGAGAAAAGGCAAACGATTAATTTCACCCGCTAGATGCACTTAAGTCATTATAAGCGGCATACTTATTTGCAACAACACATCGCAATTATTGCCGATATGCGTGGCGTATATTAGATTTCGCGTAATGAACAGTAAGCCACGTAATGCTTCCGTAACAATACGTTTTCGAGATAGTTGACGTTGTTCGTCCGCGCGCATTTGGATCGTGTAATTAAATTTCCTCACGCTGAATGTCATTTTGCGACAAATTGATTGATGTCCTTTAAAAATCTAGTTTAATTGACGGAACGTCGCTCGTTTCAATATCTTGTGCATGCTCAAAGAAAGCATGAAATACGAAATAATACGGCGGTAGAGAGCAGAGAAAATTTAATAAGTGACGAAATGCGCGAGGGACTATCATGTTTAACAGAGACGGAATTAGTAATAATTTATTCACCAAAATGACGTATACGTTTCCTACCTTCAGCTAGAAAATACTCCGTTTTGAAAGTAGAAAATATTAGATCTCACGATTATTACCTTTACACCGAGAATATCATTATTTGCAGATGCTCTTAGATAAATACATATTTTTTGGTGTCATGTAGATAAAATGTAAGCAGAAGATGGAAAATTAGTTTGATTTACGAGATAAAACTTGACATTTGCTAGCTATAAATTTACAAACTATAAATTAAGCTCTCTTTGTGTAAGCTAACATCTGATGTATAAATTTACATTTATATTTAGACGGCATTAATCCTTTGAATCTCGCGCTGTGGAGAAGGATCCGTTGATACCTTCAGATCTATCCGATATTACACGATATTTTTTTTTCGCGTGACGTAATTTATTTTACGATTCGGTTTAAATCGTATAACGATGAAGTTGCCCCGATAAATTCACGGTGAAGTGCGTCTTCGCGCACTTTGCGCGACTTTGTGACTTCTCCGGCATCCCCGAAAACAAGCGGCACACCGGGGACTCGTAATTACGCTGAATACGCGTCGTATAAATTCTATTGCGGCTCCAACAAACAACAAGAGCACAGCAGCCGGGCATTTTGTGGAAGAAGCAGCGTATCTGATCTTCGTCTCTCTGCCGTGTTCGTTTGTTCGAGTGCCAATTAACCTTTTCGTTTCTTGGAACTAGCGCAAAAAGATGACGCACCGGCCGTGCGCCCGAGGCACTCTGACGAATAGTTTTATTCAGTTGGCCTATTGTTTAACGGTTCAACTGAATCGAAAACGGGTTGGATGGATCGGCCAACCATGCTAGACAAACCTGTTCCCTAGTTTAAGCTCTTTTTACAACATTCGCGAGCGCACTAAATCTTTTGCTCTAAAAGATTTAATTCGTCGCAGTGGCGATCTTGGAGTAAAATCTGGCATTTTTTTTATTCGGTAACGAGAAGTCTAAAGAAGAAATCGTACAGATAGAAAAGACATAGAAAAATTAAATTAAAAATGTAACTTTTAATTTAATTAATTTAATTTTTTATTAAATGTAATTCCATTTGAATTTGAATAACGTGAAATTACACAATAGATATTATGTTCTCCGATTCCGATAATTAAATAGCGCTATAATTAATATCATACCATAAGAAACATTTACTAATTCTCTCTTGTGTTAATTGCTTTTATGATAATTAAAGGAAATTGTTTTATATGCGTATAAAATTATAAAGATGGAAAAAGATTGAGAAAAAGTTACATACATTAGATGATCCCAACTGCTAATTACATTTCTCATGGCCCTGTGAAAAATTAAAGATTTTTATAATATTATTATATTACATTATTATATTATATAAATCCTTCGCGTAGTAAATGTGGATGTGCAAAACATAATTACGTACACAATGTTAGCCTTGAACATGCCATGCCATAAGCAAACGAAACGGGATGAATATTCCAGCCCGATCGGTTAAGCACGTCCGACTCTTCTATTTGAGGGTTCTCCGCTGCTATGTACAAAGCAAATAGCCTTTAACTGTAACACGACGTTACATTGATCCCCTAATGAATTTATTACATTAATACTCCACGCAAATCAATGCGAAGATGAATAAACACGACCGATGTATACCGATCGATCCCCGAAATCATGGCCGTGCTGAGATTGCCCGATGAATGGCCCGCAATATTCTTCCCATCGCAAAGCCGTTGTTGTCGTCGAATAGATTGTCGTCTCCCTTGATATATTTTCGGCGTAATATCATTTAGGTGGTCTCGGTCGGAATTCGTCACTCCGCCATCGCTCTATGAATGCGTCAGTTAAGAGACGTTGAGGAGAGAAATTCGCATCAACATAGTTGCGGTGCGAAACAATGTTGCAAACCTGACGAAGTTATGGTGGTTTCATTGGCAAAGCTAAAGGCATAATGACAAAAGTCGTAGCTGCGTAAGTTTCTGCGTTCACGAAGCTTAATAAAAAAAAAAAATTGTCGCAATCGCATCTCCGTTCGTGTGTACAATCGTACAATCGTGTCGAACAGTTTTTAAATTATTTCGTTAGTCGTTTAGCGTTTCCATGTGTCGTTATTCAATCGGAGAACAGAGCCGGTCAACGGTTTTGATCGAATCGTATTTCTAGAAATAACAAAGGAGATAATTTGTCAAAGTAAAATACCCGTGCTTTTCTCTTTCGAGATGAAGAGATCGAGAAAAGGAAAAAAGGAGAGGAAGAGAGGAAGAGTGGAAGATAAGCCATGGGAAATTGGTTGAACTGCGACATCTCGTTCTTCCAGTTTCACAATAGCACTCGCTGCCCGCGTCGTATTACGAACTCCTCGGTACGGCTGAATCGTTCCATGTCGATGGAAGTGAAATTTTGCTCGTTCGTGACGACCCTCGCCTGCAACCTGGCCGTACGAAAGCTCCCGGCCACGGTCGAGTTAAGCTCTGGAAAAGCTCCGAAAGCGCTCCCGGCTGCGGTTTCCCATTGCAATAAATAAAGCTGATAAGCCGGCCTCGCTGTTTGCGAACGTTTTACTATTACTTTCCCGCCCTCTCCGCCTTCGCCACTATTCTTCATCGTTTCCATGTCAGGATGAACGATCGCGCCGGACCCGTAACTTCGATCCGACACCCGATCATTTCCAGTTTGCTCGCCTCTTCGCACGTTATCTGTCTCTTTCTCTCTCTCTCTCTTTCTGCGCGAGGAAGTGCAGAAATGTATTTTCCATTTCGGCAAAGTTAGCTATCAATTATGGCATCCGAGCAAATTCGCAAAATAGCAGGACTACAAAACTACAAAAATAATAATACCGAAACATCGGAATGTGTGCTCGTATTGTGCGAAACTTCGATTCGAACTTACCTCGCAATCTTGAATAATATTCCATTTTCTTTGTTTCTACTTGTTGTTGGATTAAGTTTCAAATTCTTCTGGGAAATATCTTCATACATATTTTCTCGAGGTAAAATTGATAAACGTAAAATAAAATTGCGGAGGTGTCAGCGATGAGGGGCTAATATGACGATGGATGTGTGGCATTCAGACTTTTATGTTGAGAAAAATGCGGCTTTGCATCACTGACACGTTACATCGAGTTTGTCGCGTGTCTAATGTTCACGGGTTATCACGGCGTGGCTGTATAATATTGCACCCGAGATTAAGCTGAGCTTGCAATTATGTTACTTTATTACTCGCTAAGCGGGATATCCAAAATATCGGCTTTCATCGCGCCAGAAGCTCATGCAAATCGTAGCATTTATTTTCACGATGTATATTTATCAAACATAAGCGGTTACCGGAAAATATTGCAACGAATAATCGTAGATTTACTCTATGAGGTTTTCCATGGGAGCTTTAAACAAGTCATATAAATTTCATTCAATTGAGATAATGCCAGCTTCATATGAAAATGTGTGCAAATTAGATGTCCATCGTGTCCTGCACTGGCTTTATGAGGCACTTTTGCAACAGATATTTTGCAGATATATTTGCATATATCTGCAAAACATATGCAGATTTCCTAGAATATCTGTATCGTATTTTTGACCTAGATATCTAAATTTTAATATTTAAATTATAAAATCCAAAAGGTACATATAATATATTGAGGATAAAAATAAAAAGAGGTGATATAAAAATATTAATTATCATAAATCGTAATTATCAATTTTTAATAAAAAATATTTATATATTTTATTTTTATTCCATATTAAATTGTAGTAAAAATAAGATAACGAGAAATATCTAGAATATTGAAAAAAGATATCGAATGAGTTGAATATTTTTCTGTGTTCAACATTCTTTGAACTAAACAACTATGGATGCAAATCAAACCTGAGGTTTTGAGAGGATTTATCGTGAGTGTGTGATGTGGAATATTTGAAGGGAGCGCACACGTTCGATTTAATTTCGAGAAAATAGGACGAGCAAAATTATTCGACATATTTGGCAAATTTATTCGCATTGTGTGCCGTGAGTGCTTCGAATAATTTACGGCATTGAAAACGCACCGCGAGTGCAATGCGGCAGAATACTTAGCGTCAAAAGGATTAGCTTTTCAATCACGAGACATATATAATTTTGTTTTAATTCTCTTTTAATACATCCTATTTAATTTTGATCTTCTTCAAGGATCACACGTTATATAGTTTGAAATATTAAATATTAAATTCATACACATGTACCATGTCCTAATGAAGGCAGAATGAAGTAAATGTATAATAAGAAAAAAAAACGAGGAAGAAGCAAGCTCTAAAGTTAATATAAATTTTATCGCGCGAATTTTATTTCCTGCAAGAATATATTTAATCTTTTCCCCAAGTGCGGTATCTATTCGTGCGATTTTTCATTCTAACAACCATCAATGTCCGCTCGATCAAAACGTACTTCGTACGTGATATTTTATCAAAGCTGAAAATAATTCGGCGGCTGACACAGATTCCATCGATGTCGATTCTTTTCTTTTTTTTTTCTTTAAGTAAGGCTCCCGCATAAATTCTCCGCTGGAATTTACTGATATTAAGAGCCCCCTTTCTCGGGCTAACGAGTCCATTATAAAGTTTACGCCGGACGTGTCAATAAGTTGCATCATAAAACTCTTCTCGAGATAACGGCTGGCCTCCATTCGAACTTGTTTTCTCGGGGGACGCGGCCGCGTTCCCCCGGCCAATTCCCCTTTCCGATTCGCGAGCGGAAGGATTAAGGATGCGCTACTAGCGCTTCGTGCCGGGGCATAATCGCGCGCGGTTAGTATCCATTACGCGCGTGCGAGGTGCGCGTGTATGCGCGCCGTGCAATCGAACGATGTCAGTCCGTGGGGTCGGTCGGGATAGATTCTGGTAACCAGAACCGCGCAGCAGCGATCACCGGGGAGGAATTTCGGGAGAAACCCGAAGGTAACCCGACGATGGCCGCAGGCTATGAGCAAACACCTTCTCGCGACCACGAGCGCATCTGACACATGGATGCATGCGTGCACAATGGAACGGGGCGAGTTAGGCGTTAACTGATACCGTGATATTACACAGAGGCCATGAGGAAATGCCCTAGATTCGCAGCAGAGGCTTACCGCTTACAGCGTTACAACTTAAAGTAACTTAACCAAGTAACTTAAATTCGTAATTTAAGTTTATTAAATTAATTAATTTAGATCAGCTTAAGATGTGAAGTCAGTTAAATATTTCGAATTCTTCCCTCGTTGTAAGTCGGACCGTTGCTCGTTATATTTGTCATTCAAAGAAGGAAATTCGTTTAATCAACGAAATTCAAATCCGTCTCGTGGCGATTAATTCAAATCGCCAGAAACGTTTATTCACATTGAAGTGTGTAAATTCGTCTTTATCCGTTCCGTTTGTTTATCGGATATACGGTGCGGTCCATAAAGTGCGCGCTCGGAAAAACAACCTCTCGCGTTATCGATTTCACGTTACATATCGCGCGTCGATAAAACCTACGACCGATATGGTGTATCACTCTACGACACAACTGATTTTTTTCTACATTGTTGAGACCCAACGCGATACCATAATTATCGAACCGTGCGACTTTAGGACTCTATCGCTGACGCCAACTGAAGTTTTCTCGGGAAGGTACATTTTCTTAGGAGTCGGAGCAAGAACTTTATATTTCGAACTTTGTACTTTTTGTGAGAACTCAGCAATGGAATCTATATTAGCTAATAAATTACTTTATCAAATTTCACTCGAAAACACAAGCTTCCTTTCTTTTTCTATGAAGACATGAATGGCGCCACCTTTAATTACAATCCTCTTGCAGCATCCATGAGTCAGAAATTATGCTGAAATATATTTATGAACCTTTTTTAATTTTTACGAGAGATTTTTTCTAATATTTCATGACAACAGGACAGGTACACATTTGCATTACATTAATATCATGACGTATGCAATCGGACCCGTAACTACACTCGCGCTATGCTCATAACTGCACGATTTTCCAACGAGAGGCGTTTGCTCAGAATGCCACCTTGTCAGCGGTAGCCGCATCGGGAGACATAGCTGGGCGAGCGGGTGGCCGCTAAGGGGGTGAGCGCGGGTGCGCGACCGGGAGAGGAAGGATGCGCGGGTAGTAATTAATGCCGCTGCAGCGCTGCAGCGGACCAAGAAGCTGCGAGACCAGCCGGGCGGCGGGGCGACGGAGCGGCGGGGGGTGGCGGGCGACGGCGGCGGTGGCGGCGGTGGCGGTGGCGGCGATGCTAGCCAAAAGCAAACATTCCTAGAGTCACGGTATCCCGAGTATCCAGGTATTGGTTCGACACGTACCAATTATAAGCCGGCGCACCGGTCATTTGTAACGCGCCGGAATGCCGCGTGGACTTGTCGTGGGAGAAGCGGCTGGCTGGTTCTTACCCTGGATTGAGCGCCATTTAGCCCTCGTGTACCGCATTACATCGGACTTCTGTGGTGGTTCTCTCCCCCGGTGATGTGGACCCCCCCCCCCTCCGTGAAATATTTTAGGGCGAGCCTAAACGCGTGGGAGGGAACAAATGTTATGCCATGGTTATTATATCGCTTCCCGATTGAACGTTACTTAAACATCGAGTCGCCCTGAATATTGCCCTATTATTCGCATTGTCGACTGCGCTTGAATTAGCCGAGAGCTAAGGTTTTCGCTCTTTGCAAAACCGTACGACGTGGATTATTGTAGCCGAACTGCCAAACCAGTTTACACTGATTTAATCTTGGCTCGGTGCTCGTCGATGTTTAGTTTCTCGCGCGCGCTCTTTGCATCCGGAAATAATAATTCGATTTCCCTAATCGTATAACCACGCGATTGTGTTGCGTGCATCAAGTTCGGCCGATAACTCCATGCAGCTGGAAACTGGAATAATTGATCTCGTTTTACTTACGGCGAATTGGTAGCGTTAGGCTGGCAGATAATGGCTAGATACAAAACTCGGTTACAAGCTTCGATAACAATATAATAATAGATAATACAAATTAAAATTCAGTCTTGTTGTAAACCATATGATTTTTACCGCAATCTTTATTAATATAATAGCGAATAAAATTATTGTTGCAACGTAGCGTTGGTTTTCAAGAGACCATCAAAGATGTCACAAGTTGATACAAAGTAACTTCCTAACTCTCGATTCCGTTCGTAACAAAAATCATTTATATAACAGAATATTATTCAAATTCATTATAATAATTTTATTTTGCACGAATATGGTGCAGCATTTGTTTGACAATTATTTGATATCAGTTTGCTGGCTGAAGAACATAATTTCTAGATTAGTACTCGACGTTTGTCGGGATACGGAAACGTATTTTACGGATTAACTATGCCAGGTCTTATCGCTCGAATGTGTACGCGCCCCTCTTACATTTCCACCCGCTATATTTCATTCACAATGAGACCGTGCTCTGTATTGTATGTGTACCCAGATATCGAGTTATAAGCGAACGTATACCAGAGTGATTTGTTTCGCGCGGAGACAGCCGGAGCGAATGTCGTGAGATTAAAAGAGCGAGAATTCCCTTCTCCCCATCTCGGAAGGCACGAATGATATTCACGATTGTTCCGCAGAGAATTGGCGGAACCGCTCGCGGATACTT